GTCTGTTGTGGGGAGGGAGAGAGAGAGGAGTTTGTAAGCCGCTCTGAGACTCCTTTGGGTAGTGAAGGGCGGGGTATAAATCCAATCTCTTCCTCTTCTTCTTCTTTTAAAGTAGTCAGCAAGTACCAGGGCTCCCTTTTTAGGCGTTTCCTTTCGGGTCTGTTCAAGTGCTCTTCGGAGGCCTTTCCCCCCCTGTGTTTTAAAATCGATTTTGCAACCAGCAGAGGCAGCCTCTGCAGCCTGGATAAAGGAGGCCAGCGGCATGTTTACATCCTTCTGCTTACTTTGGAGTAAAGGGAGGAAGGGGAGGTGCAGCTGTGCCGAGCTTGCAAGGCTGATCTCTGGGGGGGGCACCTGTTGGCTTCCGAGACCGCCGGGCATCTGGTTGCTTCCGTGTGCGGAGTCATTCCTTCCTCCTGGACTGCGTATCGGGTTCTCTCCTCCTGTGCCGTTGACTCTGCCGTAGAGCCAGCTTGGTGTAGTGGTTAAGAGTGGCAGATTCTAATCTGGAGAACTGGGTTCGATTCCCCCACTCCTCCACATGAAGCCAGCTGGGTGACCTTGGGCCAGTCACAAGTTCTCTCAGCCCTTGAAAACGAGTTTCGATCGCCACTAGCAAATGCTAGGAACTAGAACATGTAGCTGCCAGGTACTCTTAGAATCTCCTGGGTCTTCGACACACAATGTTATACGATAATTATTCATTAATTACTATTATTTGCCGCCGCTGTGGGAAATAGAGGTGGCCCTTTGGGTGGCTGATGGGCTTCGGTGGCGCCGTCTGCCACATTGGGTGTGAGCCTGAGTGTACAGGGTTTATCCACCCAGGCCAGTCCAGGGATGAGAGGGAATCCAGTACTTTTCAGTACATTAAACAACAAGCCACGAGATGGTCTATACCCTCTCTGGTTTCCAGAACAATTTGCCACCAGAACCTCTTTTCACTAGTCCCTGCCTTTCCTAAGGGAGAGATTCCAGCCCTTAGTTAGCATCTGGGACGGAACACGTTAGCAACTCACTCCAGAGATGCACACTCTTACCATGGTAGCATATGTGGTCAGGGTTAGGCACCAGGCTTAGACTTAGAATTCAGTTACAACATCAAAAACAATTTCGCAATAAGAAGGATCTTTATTCTGTACAGAGCTTAGCATAGACTACCAGAGATTACAAAAATAACAAAGGCTAGGGCTGTTTGCCTTAACTAAACATTAATGATTTATAGTTACCACGTCAGGAGTATTTATCAGTCCAAGATAGTTTAAGGGATTTTGAAGGGAAATCCCATTTTTGCACACCATGTGCTCCAAGTCACAAAGCAACTCTTTGTCTTTCAAGAGGCAGCATTTCAGGTGCAATAAACCAGACAATGACAAGAGGAGGAAGGGAGAGCAAAAAGCAAGAGCAAGAGAACTCACTCCCCTAGGGATCAAACAATTATACCCCAATTCCAGTCACAAATTAGATGTGGTCATCAGCCAATTGCGAGTGGGCATGGGGGTGCCCAATTATTGGTTGCCATAGCTGCGTGTGGGGATAGGCTATAAGTTTGGGACCCTGCTTGCAGTCATCTGACCCCAAACTCCAGTTACTTCATGGTCTACGTGACTAGTCACATGTGGGCCAGAAAGTGGAGCCATGAGGTCTGGCGTTTGGCATGAGAGTGTGAAAGAATGTGGGTTTATGGCATGGCTATTGAGGCCATGTGGCCTCACCAATTGGTTTGCAACAGGAAACAAGACACAGCATGTTATCAAAAGACATCACAGGAGAAGGCATGTGAATATAGAAGCAATATTTCTATACACTGAGGCATCGGAGAGAGAGGTGACGACGTGGATCGCCGTCTCTCTTTCGTCATAAATGCTCCATTGCTGTCACTCAGTGTCTGAGGTACACGGCATCAGAAGGGAGCATAGATCAGTGGTTAGAGCACCTTCTTTTCATGCTGGGCTCTGTCCCCAGCATCTCCAGTGAAAGTATTTCAGTTCACAGGACTTGGAGCGGCCTTTCTATGCCTGAGACCCTGGAGAGCCACTGCCAGTCAGAGTTGGCACATGGACGAAAACCTATGAAGCTGCCTAATACTGAATCAGTTTCTTGGTCCAGCAAGGACAGTATTGTCTACTCAGACTGGCAGCTGCTCTCCAAAGTCTCAGGCAGAGGTCTTTCCCATCACCTCCTGCCCGGTCCTTTTTAAGTGGAGATGCCAGGTATTGAACCGGGGACCTTCTGCATGCCAAGCAGAGGCTCTGCCACTGAGCCGCAGCCCCTCTTTACAGCTCTCCAGGGTCTCAACAAGCCCTGTGTCCTGCTCCCAGCAGCCCTCAGTCAGAGCAAGAAGCAGCCAGGTAAGCTGCAGAGTCCCCCCCCCTCGGTCCAAAACAGTCCAGCGGCACCTTTAAGACCAAGTTACCTTCAGGTACAAGCTCTCCCTCCTCTTTGAGGGCAGATCTGCACGTTCCCCCCTCCCCCCAATAGCTAGCAACCCCAAACAGTCCAGCGGCACCTTTAAGACCAGGTTTCATTCAGGCACAAGCTCTCCTTCCTCTGTGAGGACAGATCTGCACGTCCCCCCCCCAATAGCTAGCACTCCAAAACAGTCCAGTGGCACCTTTAAGACCAGGTTTTATTCAGGTACAAGCTCTCCCTCTCCTGCGAGGACACACACATATGTTCTTTTCTGTGAGCCGCCCTGAGCCTGCTGAGGTGGGGGGGTCCTGGGGCTGGTGAGGGGGGGGGGGGGGGCTGGATATAAATAAAATAAAATAAAAGATAAATAAAATAAACCTGGGTTTTCACATACCCCCCAGTTTGGTTGCTTTGCCGTAAGTGATCCATTCAACTAGTGCCCTTCCCATGAAAGGGATTGGCGGGTTGGTTTGCTGGCTGAAACCGAGATGTCACGCCGGAGAGTGTTGTTGATTCTTCTGTCCTCTTCTCCTGACAGAACTTTACAGCTACACCGAGGAGCCGGAGTTTGCCGTCAACAGGAAATGCTTCCAGGAGGATTTTCAAACCCAAGGTAGGCTTCTTTTTTGGGGGGAAGGCTGTGTTAGGCAGAAACGTAGAAACCGGACCTGTTGGATTAGGCCAGAAATCCAGGGGCCCAACCGAGAAAATTCAGAGCCAATTTCCTGGCTTTTGTGTGGAATTAATGACTGTGCGTCATTTGGAGTCTCGGTCCTTCTGCAGAATTAATCATTTTAGGGTTTTGTTTTGTTGCAAAGAGGGATGTGGCCGAAAGGGTGTTTATGCGAAGGACAGTACAGCACATGGATGGGAACTTCCTGACAGAGCGGCTCCTCGGTGGAACAGGCCTTCTTTGGAGATTTTCAAGCAGAGGCCATTTGACAGCAAGGCCGATTCTGTGAACCTGGGCAGATCCTGAGAGGGAGGGCAGGAATGTTGGATTAGGCCAGAAATCCAGGGGCCCAACCGAGAAAATTCAGAGCTCAGAGCCGATTTACCTGGCTTTTGTGCGGAATTAATGACTGTGCATCCTTTGGAGTCTCGGTCCTTCTGCAGAATTCATCGTTTTAGGGTTTTGTTTTGTTGCAAAGAGCGATGTGGCCGAAAGGGTGTTCATGCGAAGGACAGTACAGCACATGGATGGGGACTTCCTGACAGAGCGGCTCCTCGGTGGAACAGGCCTTCTTTGGAGATTTTCAAGCAGAGGCCATTTGACAGCAAGGCCGATTCTGTGAACCTGGGCAGATCCTGAGAGGGAGGGCAGGAAGGGGTTGCCTCAGTGCTTAGTTCTCGTGACCCTTCCTTACACGCCCAGGGAAATGCTGATTGCCACTTTGGGGTCAGGAAGGAATTCTTCTCCAGGCCGGTTTGCCCGGGGATCCTATTTCCCCCCCGCCATCTTATGGGCATGGAGCAGGGGTCAGTGGCGGTATGGGGGGTATTTTTGAATTTCCTGCTTTGTGCAGGGGGTTGGACTAGATGACCCTGGAGGTCCCGTCCAGCTCTATGGTGGGAAAACACTGGTGTCTCTGACCCTGGGGGTGGAGGTCTTTTGCCAAACCTAACTACACTTACTTGCTCAAGCCTGCTTCCCTATGGAGGTCTAGATCCTTCCCTGAAATGAAAAAAGGCCCCCTTTTTCCCCCTTGGAAATTACATTTGGCACCTGTACACAAATGCCTCACCTGATTCGGTATAAAGCAGCTATGTGTGAGTGTTTCGTTTAGAGGAGAGACCGTGGCTATTTGGTAGAACATCTCCTTGGCATGCAGAAGGTCCCCCGTTCAATCCCCGGCATCTCCAGTTAAAAGGACCAGGCAGGAGGTGATGGGAAAGACCTTTCTCTGCCTGAGACCCTGGAGAGCTGTAAAGAGGGGCTGTGGCTCAGTGG